TCAGGCCAAACTTGTTATTTCTTCCTCCATAACATCCAGACCATGATTTCCAATAAAAATCATGATCCTAAACCTTTAAATCACAAAGAAATAAAGATTCCAGACCACGGTAATTTTAAAGAATATAATAGTAAGAGTTAAAATCACATAACATACACAAATGTCACCCTTATATCCAAAGGTACACCTCTCTTTGATATGTCACTCTTATCCCATGGTACACATCTTCTTGATATGTCACCCTTATCCCATGGTACACCTCTCCTTGATATGCCACCCTTATTCCCTCATCAAAATCATTTCACAAAATAAATCCATTCAGACCGTAGTCAGTGGATTTATCAGTTCAAAATCATATTTATCAAAATTACCATTATATATATATATATATATATATATAAACAATTATATATATAAACCATGCACAAGTCAAAATATGCAAATTCGGTCAACATAGACTTGGCCGGACTTCATCTACGGTCAAGTCTTGGTCGGTTTACCAAATTCAGACAACAAATAGCCCAAGACTTGCCCGATTTACCATTGATCCAGTTAACATAACTTGTCCGATTTAAACTTAGAATAAAATTTCAACACTTTGTCCGGATTACTAATCCGGGCAACACTCTTCATGCCCTGACCGATTTAGCAATCCAGTCATTTTATAGTCATATTCCTACTTCTTCGAGTTAAACACTTGGTCATAATTTAAGATTTATAAATCGCTCATCATATAAACCGGTTAACACAATTAGTCGATTTATTTTTAAACCGGTCAAAGCATGTCCGGTTTAGGTCTTATTCGCTTATCCCTTATCCGGTTTATATACATATATCGCTCAACCCTGACCGGTTCATGCGTTAGATCGCACAACCTTTTTCCGGTTTAAGTCTTATCCGGACAACACTTCAAGTAAACTTAAAAACTTCAATAAAACATATAATTCAGAGTATTTTGAAAGTATTTAACTACTCACCCTTTTAAAATCTTTAGAAGTAAGATTGAACTCAACTTCAATTCCAATCAAAGCAAGCAATCCGATCAACACTGTTTTCTTTAAACCGCTCACTAACTTTCGAAAATGGCAAGAGAGTGAATGGAGGGCTTCATCCTCCTTTTATACTTTCCTTCTTTGGAAAGTCGGCTAACACAGCCGTACACGTGCATGCAAATCTCTATGTGCATGCATCATTACTTTATTCATATAATATGCATATATTCCTACATACCTTTTTCATGCATATAAACCCATGCATACTACACATTTTCAAGTGTGCATATTAATTTTATACATATATTCACATACACATGTATATATATGTATCACATATCCACATGATTAAATGTACAAATTTATTATGCTGACACATAATCACATTTAACAAATAATCACATATTTATTACCTCAGGTGACAACTAAGATCTGGTTATCACATCATCCACCTCTCAAAAGAATTCTGTCCCGGAATTCCTTTAATCAAAGAGCCAAGGGTACTCTAATCTCATCTTTGACTCCAATTCTCATGTCGCTTCTGGTCATTTGTGAAACTTCCACTGAACCTTAACCAAACTTATCTCTTTATTTCTCAACACCCTGATCTTTCGGTCAATTACAGCTTCCGGTGTTTCCACAAAGTTCAGCTTACTATCAAATTTAATCTCTGGCATCGGTATAGCTAGACTTGGATCAGCCAAACATATCTGCAGATTCGATACATGAAAAGTGTTGTGAATCAGATTCAGTTCTTCTGGCAGCTCTAACTGATATGCTACTGGCCCAATTCGCTTACATATTCTGAATGGCCCCACATACCTTGAACTGAGCTTACCCTTCTTTCCAAATCTGATGACACCCTTCCACGGTGAAACTTTCAACATTACAAAATCACCTACACAAAATTCAATCAGCTTTCGACGATTGTCAGCATAACTTTTCTGGCGATCTTGTGCTGGTCTGATTCTTTCACGGATCTGTTCAATCTTTTCAGAAGTTTCTTGAACAATCTCAAGACCTGTCAACTGTCTTTCTCCTACTTTGTTCCAACATAACGGTATTCGGCATTTACGTCCACACAATACTTCATACGATACCGCTTGGATGTTGGAATGGTAACTGTTATTATATGCAAACTCTATCAATGGCAAGTGATCTTCCCACGATCCCCCGGAGTCAATAATACAACTTCTCAACATATCTTCGAGAGTCTGGATAGTTCTTTCWCTCTGCCCATCAGTCTGCGGATGATAAGCTGTATTTAGTCGGATTTCAGATCCCAAATCTTTCTGCAATCCTTCCTAGAACTTTGAAGTAAACCGACTATCTCTATCAGAAATAATAGATAATGGAACACCATGTCTGGTTACAATTTCTTTGATGTAAATCTGTGCTAGCTTTTCTAGTGAGTACTTTTCTCTTATTGGTAGAAAATGCGCAGATTTAAACAGACGATCAACAATTACCCAAATTGCGTCATACCCCTTTGGAGTTCGAGGCAACTTCATGACGAAATTCATTGTAATGTGATCCCATTTCCATACAGGTATCTCCAAAGATTGAAGGCTTCCATACAGCTTTTGATGTTCAATCTTAACCTGTAAACATGTTTGACACTGTTCCACATATTTGGCTATGTCCCTTTTCAATCCGGGCCACCAATAAAAAGATTTTAAATATTTGTACATCTTATTGGTACTTGGATGAATAGAGTATCGAGACTTATGAATTTCATTTAATATAGTGTTCCAGATATCTCCAAAACATGGTACCTAAATTCGCCCTTGAAAGCACATTAGTCCTTCCTCATTCTGTTCCAAGGTTGAAATCTTCTTATCCAATTTTTTTGTTTTAACAAATTCTTCTTTCATAGCTTCTTGTTGACATCTCTGAATTTCCTTACGAATGTTAGGGACCAAATTCATTCTTATTGCCACAGCTTTAATGGTTCCACTCTTTTCTTTCCTGCTTAAAGCGTCAGCCACCACGTTAGCTTTCCTCGGGTGATAGAGGATTTCACAATCATAGTCATTAACCAGTTCAATCCACCGACGATGTCGCATATTTAATTCTTTCTGGCTAAACAAATGTTGCAAACTTTATGATTAGTATAAATCTGACACTTTGTTCCTAGAAGATAATGTCTCCAAATTTTCAGAGCAAACACTACTGCAGCTAATTCCATGTCATGAGTTGAATACTGCTTCTCATGATCTTTCAACTGTCTTGACGCATAAGAAATCAATTTTCCTCTCTGCATCAGAACACATCCTAACCCTAACTTTGAAGCATTGTTGTAAACTACAAAGTCTTCAGATCCATATGGTAAAGTTAATACCGGTGCGCTGCAAAGATGATCTTTCAATAGTTGAAAAGCTTCTTGTTGTTCTCCTTCCCACTGGAATTTAATGTTCTTTCGAGTCAATTTAGTCAATGGCACGGCTATCTTTGAAAAGTCCTAAATGAACTTAAGGTAATAACCGGCCAATCCCAAAAAGCTTTGGACTTCAGAAGGATTTTTCGGTGCTTCCCATCTTGCAACTGCTTCTATTTTTGATGGATCTACTTTTACCCCTGTTTCTGAGATGACGTAACCCAGGAATTGGACTTCTCTTAACTAGAACTCACATTTAGATAACTTTGCGTACAACTTTTCCCTCCTCAACAATTCTAATATTAGACGAAGATGTTCTGCGTGCTCTTCTTCGGTCTTAGAGTATATAAGAATATCATCAATAAATACAATAACGAATTTATCAAGATATTCCTTACATACCCTATTCATTAAATCCATAAAGGTTGCGGGCGCATTTGTTAAGCCGAACGACATAACTAAGAATTCGTGATGCCCGTACCTAGTTCTGAATGCTGTTGTGGCAATATCTTCTTTCCTGACTTTGAGCTGATGATACCCTGACCTTAAATCAATCTTGGAGAAATAACTTGCTCCCACCAATTGGTCGAACAAGTCATCAATCCTTGGTAAAAGATATTTGTTTTTGATTGTCAACTTATTTAGTTCACGATAGTCTATACACATTCGCATAGACCCATCTTTCTTCTTGACAAATAAGACCGGAGCACCCCCAAGGTGAAGTGTGGGTTCTAATAAATCCCTTGTCAGTTAGATCTTTTAATTGTGTAACCAATTTCTTCAATTCAGATGGAGCTAACCGGTATGGTGCTTTTGCTACTAGTGCAGCCCCTGGTACAAGATCAATTCGGAATTCAATAACTTTGTCTGGTGGTAATCCAGATAAGTCTTCTGGAAAGACTTCTGGATATTCGTTAATGGTCGGGTTATATCTCACACCTTTAGACTTAATGAAATTGGGCCACAAAGCAAGTATACAATACAGCCCAACGTCGTCTTTCCAAGTAATAAAGTGGTACAAGTACCGGATTATCGTCCACAGAGATTGTAGCCAAAGTTAGATTAGAGTCCAATGAAAGAGATGNAAAATAAATTATTTCATTATTAAACTTAAATTAAATTATAATAAAAAAAATTAAATTAAAGAAATTACATAAAAATGAAAACTTTTAAATAGTTGATTTGATACTAACATTGATATATTTTTTTTTCAAATTTTTATGATAACTTTAAATTTATATTTTATTCAAAAATAAAATTATTATTGCTTTCTTAAAAACACATAAAATCATATTATAACATCGACAAAAAATAAAATAGAATATTAAAATCAATATGTATCTTGTTACATTCCACGAGTATCCTTCTAGTTTATCAAAAAAGAAGAATTTAAACACTTTTCTTAAGTTTCGATGTGCCCCCAAAACAAAATAGTTTTGCACATGCAAATCAGTATCTCATGTCAACGATGACTCTTGGCATCTGTTTTTCTATGCTTATACGATTACACACGAAAACTTATACACCAAACTACAAATCGGGATACATACGTAAAATGCATAGCAAGAATGTGAATGTTATAATAGATATGTTCAAATCCATACCTAAGCCTTTCTGGGATATGTTCTTGAGCATAAACTCAACTTCTATATCCAAACATTGGAAATCTGATCTTCTCTTTATCATATAATTGATAGAATCAAGATATCACAAATGGGTGTACTAGAAAGATCGTGTTCTTCATTTAAATTCTCAATGGCAAAGGCCAGAATTACCATCTCCTTTGATCCTTCAGCCCTCAATTTTAGGCTCTGATGAACCATTACCTGACTTCTTCAAGCTACCCAATATGCCATCTATCAAGTTGTTATCGTCTGTGGGTTTGTCAGCCACAAATGAGTAACGCTTTGAAAGTTTCTGCTCCTGTTCGGAGTTTATCCGTTTAGGATGACTCCTGTCAGCCTCACTGGACAAACAAGATGGCTTCTTGGTATCGTGCACGTGATCTATATTCATATCAGAGGAGCACTCTGATGCTATCCTGTTATTGCTATCCTCTTTGTTACTGTACCATGAATCAAGTATCTGTAGTAATGAGCTATCGCCTTCTGTCCTACGCTTAGCTTGGTTTCGCGATCCTCTTGGAGAACTATCGTCTTCTGAATCAGAGAGATCGTTATCTGATACAGTTTCAAAATCATGATTGATTTTGTCATCATCTTTCTTGGTATTCATTCCGGCAATGGGTCCCAGTTCGTCCCATTGGATGTCGTCCTCCAGTCTTGACAAATCTGATTTAGGATACTCCTCAATAATAGGACCTGTTTTTTCTGAATGTAAACCCCTCGAGTGATCTGGAAGAATATAATTAGACTCTAGCTTCACCCCTGGCATTATCTGAAGCACAGTTGCAAGCTTCTGGTAACCAAGCTGTTGAACTTCCAAATGATAGCCATACCTGTCGAGGAACAATTTTTTAAAGCTGCTAATGTTAAATCCATCAGGATATTCTTTAACAACCTCATTCACAAGCTTCTGACAATCGCTTAATATCTGCCTTCGGCTTTTGGGAGAGGTTTTTTTCTTGATGGGAAGCATAGAACCCCCAACTTGACGTTCTTGTCCTTGTGAATTGCTATCTGACTCTGTGAACTGCGAACTTAGCTTTGTAGACTCTTTTGAATTAGTACGTTTGCCAGAACCACCTCCAATGAGTCTAAAAGGAAAAGTCTGGGATGGGCTTTCTACCACCCATTTCTTCTCTGAAATCAGCATCTCCACAAGGTGTAAAATATGCTTTTCACTTAGTGATTGAAGTCGACAAGGTCCAAACCGCTGTAAATTTTGCACCATCTCCTGCCTAACCAAAATCAACAAGCAAGTGAAATAATTCAATTAGTACTTTGCAACTGCATCAGCTGAAACATTAGAATTTCTACCAAATTTTTAAAACCCAATCGTGCAATGAGTTGAAATGATAAAGGAAAACCGAATGCTCAAAAATGATGGAACAATTGATATCAGACAGCACCAGCGACTAGCAAATTCTCTGCTCTTGTATCTTCTGGTAATGGCATTACAAGAGGAAAAGGTCGAGCAAACAGAGGTTTTGGAAGGGGATCTAGTAAAGGGTCACAAAAGCATCTAGTCAGGGATCAACGGACATATTTAGTACTAGTTGTAAATGGCCATAGGTCATTTGAACGTATCAGTTAGCAGGACTCATACCACTTGCCTACATCCAGAGTACAGCTTCCCAATAAAAGCTCAATTTAGTGTGATGTATTTGTTCTTCTTAGTAGTAGTTTGGCCATGTGCTACTGCTACATAATTGATGTAGTTGCACTATATCACATGAAGAGAATAAACATATTTTACCAACAATCTATCCTTCTACCAGTATATAGTTAATATAGTGAATGATTTTTTGTTCACCTATGACCTACCTTGCCAAAAACCTTCTTATCTATTAGCAACAGCATGAAAGATTAATTAGTTTTTGCCAGAGTGTTTTGTTCAGGATTTAGGAAATCTCAGACTAAAGAATTATAAATCAAAGCAGGTCGTGACTCACAGCTCCATTGGCCAGATGCTTCTTTCTCTGTTGCTTATCTGAGTGCAATTAGTATCTAGGATATTTGAAGTCAATTGGTTCATTATTCCCTTGAGCATCTGAACAAATGGACAAGGATTCCATCGCCTTGTAGTTTCAGACGTCAGTCATGCCCCATGAAAACACATTTGTGCCTAGTACCCATCCAGGAGTCCATCTAGATCTAGAGCAAGTTGACTGTTCTAAAGATTTTGGAACATATTTGTTGATTTCTTTATAGCTACATGAATTGCAATGCTGTCTTCAGCTTTTCCCTATCCTTACTAAGCTTGTACTCCATTCTAAATACAGCATATACAAGCTTATGCATGTGTCATATGACTCATGCTATACAAATTACCTTGTGTTTATACTCGTCAACAAAATAGTATCGTTGAACGCAAACTTACACCTCATTTAGAAATATCCCATGCACTATTGAGTAGCTATAATGTACCACAATGGTTTTCGGGGAATGCAATACTCATGCATGCTATTAAATGCCAGTTGCTTCGATTTGAATTATCCGGAGAATGCCTTATATAGATAACCAACATATCAAAAAGATGGACAATCAAACCTATTGTTTAGGCAAAAGACTTGACTTTCTTGTCATAATGGCTTTGTTTTCGAGCATCCTTGGGTGCCAACAGAGGTTTCTTTAGATGCTCCCGTTGATCTTCTCATTGGGAGTCCTCCTATTCCACTGGAGTATATGCTAGAAAAGTTAGACATCCTAATACACTAGTATTTGTTTCCTGATCCCTGCTTCAACTAGCCCCCAGTTCCACATTATGATACCCTATTGGACATGGATTATCCAAGTTGGTGCTAGACAATTCATAATGCTCGTTCTTGAGCAGAATCAGAACAAACCTTCCTCCTACAAAGGATTTGGTTGAGGTGCAAATGGGTGTATAATGCAATTCAATTTTAATAATCTCCCACTCATCTAAGAGGAAGATTAGCGGTTGAATGCCAACCCAAAATTTATGGTGTGCACTACGACGACCTTCAGCCACAGCCAAAATGATTTATCCTCATATTGTCCTTGCCCAAGCTATAGTTCATTATTGGCAACTCATCCTGATACCAAGAATACATTTCCTAGTATCGTCTACTCAAGGTGGTGTATATGGATCTACTTCCTCATTTGGGGTTTAGAATGAGGCTTTCAACGTCGCTACTTGAGCAATCTAAACATGTCCCCTGGGTTCGGTTTTCTCCATTTCTGTCAAGTACTTCAGAAGTTCTATGTGGTTTTCGATGGCTATGAATACTTCATTTCTTTTATAATAGATATCAAATGTGGTTGTTTTAGTTTTATAAATTTATGATATTGAGGATCTTGAAGATATCTCACTGGCTTACAGCAGTAGTTCTTTTTTCCAAAAGAAATTTATATGGAAGATCACAGATCCTAAAGCATTTACTGAAGGTTGAGATTGCTAGACCACCTAGAAGAATATACTAATGAAAGAGAAGTGGATCCTTAATATCTTGGTTGAATTTGACATGCATCAAATAAAGACTGCACATTCTTGACGATTCGAGATATCAAGTCACCTAAAGAGCGCTCCTAGGCAAACATCAAAGTGCGGAAGGGATTTTTGTAGATGTTATCCCTGTAGAATGTTCATACACAAAGGAGATCAACAACCAAAAGTATTGTCTTCATTGGATGTGCAATCTTATATCTTCAAAGAACAAGATCCAATACAATCCTTTCTAGTTTTGAGTCTCAGGAATCATGCTATGGCACTCAGCTTGTAATCTGACTTTGTTTGGTTATACTGTATAGGATTTAGGTGATTCTTCGTTCAACTTGATGGAGATGTATTACATCGATAATAAGACCATCATGCATGTCTAGAAGAATCATTTATTATATGTGTACGCCAAGCCAACTAAGGTTGATAGTAACTCTCTTTGTTGGGAAGTGGTTGCTACTTTGTGCAAGCCTCCTACTACCGAGTGGCATAACCAAGTTTCAGTAATGCAGATGATGTTGCATAAGCCTCTTCATAAAGGCTCAACTGATCCTATATACAGCAATCTAGGCATGTTTGACACATAAGCTCCAACTTCAGGAGGGTTAGAGGTATAACATATTTCATTTAGTATTACCTCATTCTTCTTCGTGTTTTGGCCCATTTTCCATACATCCAGTCCATTTATTTGAAAGTTCTTTGGTATAGAAACTTATATTTCCTTTTAACTCCTATTTTCATAAAAAATTAACATGGCCAGAAGCAATTAGAAACTTGGCCTTCGACAGAAGGGTAAGATAAGGGAACTTTATTGGGAGAGTGGTCACTTAGGGATTTTAAAGTGTGAACGCACACATTACTTATCAGAAATGTGATACAACTCTAAATTCAATGCAATAAATCTAGTGTTTAATGAATGTATCTAGCCAACCCTCCAAAACAGAAATAATAAAGGAATAGAAAAGAACGGTGTATTAGTTTATAGAGAACTATGTACATTGTAAGCAACCAAGGATCAAAGCATTATGTTCATTCAGCATAATCAATGACCCTCGTTCCAGAAATTAAAGTTACATTGGAGGCATATGAGGGTTTCAGACATTGACAGAATCCAGATGAATTATTTAATATATGCACTAGAACAATGTATAGGAGTCTCGTATGTTCAAATGTTTCTTACATTTGCTTCACTTTACAACCAAACGATCTCGTGAACCTAAAATATTGCCATGTATACAACTTGAATCAAATCTCTACTGAGCTGTCACAATATATGCAATATATCAATAATGTACTAAGAAGCCTAAAATATCACTATACCTGTATGACTGTATCTTTCAATTAATTATATTTCTATGTATCAAATCTTATTATGTTTTTATTAATTTTAGTATTGATTCTTTTCATTTTGCTCCTTTCGTCACACAACCATTTTATTTGTTTTAAACCAAGGTTTTAAAAGGCGAAATTGGGCCTCGAGGCGTTTTCCCTCAACGAGGCGAAGTGTAAGCCCCAATGCGGAAATATATATACACCAAAAGATGTATATATACTACACAAATATATATATATATATAATATTAAATTACTAAGGGTACTTGTTCAATGGTTCTTGACAGAGGAAAGAGTAACCGTGAGATAGGCCTCAGTTTGTGGAAAAATCGGTTGCTTGGAGGAAGAGGAAGGGTCAAACCACACTTTTTGATTGAGAGGAGAAAGTACTAGCATTTTGGGTTTTAAAATATTAAATATACAGACTGGGGCCATTGGGCTTTGACTTCTAGTTTTTGAAAATAAAAAGAAGACACTTATACTATAAAGAGAAGTACTACTACTGACATAAGGCTTATAAAAAGCCAAGAAAAACCATTACCAAAGCAGATCATCTCAGGCGTCCTCAACAACGCCTCACGCCTCACTGAACCAAGGCGTAAGCCTCGTCCAGGGTCCAAGAGGCGTTGCCTGAAGTGCGGTTTTGGGGCGCGTCGCCTTGATGTGCGCCTTGAGGCGTACGCCTCAAACTATTTTTAAAACCATGGTTTAAACCACAGAGAATACCATGGACAGGAAAAGGAATTAAGAAAATTGGAATGCACATCCACATCTCTCTCCGCCTCAAACGATTTTTAAAACCATGGTTTAAACCATAGAGAATACCGTGGACAGGAAGAGGAATTAAGAAAATTGGAATGCACATCCACATCTCTCTCCAACTTTGTGTTCATGAGCCATAAATCTAGAAGAACAAAGTATTTTCATGTTAGGCCCATAGACAATAAATGCAAAAAATATTTTCAACATTGGCCCCATAACTTCAACCAGCCAACTTACCAGCAACTGGATTTGGCTGTTCAACCAACGGTCAATGACTTCGTTTGGTTTTTCTTATTTCAAGATTTTTATGTGAAATAGATCAATGAATTGTAAAGGTCCCGGTATGAGTGATTCAATCTTCTGGTGCGGTCTGAAATCTTTAACATTGAGCTTACCAATTACAGGTCTCCGTCCATAGAAGTTTCTAGATGTTTTGAAAATGTATGGTTTTGTTTACTGTTGCCATATTCTGGGGTTCTATGATAACATCTTCCCATGTTTACAGTGATATACTCACAAACACCGGAAACAACTATGGAGAAAAGACAAGCATGCACCTGGTCTTGGACTGCAAAACTGAGACTGAACCTTTGGAGGTTTCTAAGAAAGCCAACATGTCATTCCAAAAAGATTCTGTAAAGATTTCCTGCATCTCTGAAAGACTTGATGCCTCTTTATCACTTCTACTGACTTCTGCATTTAGATTATCAGAGTTCTTATCACTTTGCCAAAATTTACACAATCTCACAATCTGGTTAAAAATTCCATGATGCTTGCTAACTTTATCAACATTTTCTGCACGTTTCTGAACAATTTCTGCATCTTGAATCCCTTCATTAGTTGACAAATAAGATGGGGGCAGCTTTCCCAGATTAGAAGATTGATCTTTTGATTGCACAGATTTCACATCAGCATTTACTGTATCAGTGCTATTTTGGGAAGTAGAACCCTCATTAACACTATAACAGGTTTTCTCTTGATGATCATCATTACCTCTAAACCACTTCTGCCAGATAGACTTGAAAATTCCCACTTCAGGTATAGGTCTCTTCATCTTTATTGGGTACAACTGACCAAGGCTCACTTCACCTTCTTTTGCCCTCTCAATAAGAGGAGGTTGTTCCTGAACTTTCTGTGGCTCCTGTTTTTCTGGAAGTGCTTGTGAGTCTGTAGATACCTTTGGTGCCTTTAATTTGGAGGATGATGACAATAATTCCTCCTGAACTTGCTGTGGCTCCTCCTGGTTTTCTGGAAGCGCTTGCAAGTCTGTACAAAGCTTTGGTACATTTAGTTTGGAGGATGATGACAATATTTCCTTCTGATGGGGCACGGAAGTGTTGTGACCACCATCTTCCATGGAAGCAACAACTGGAACCGAGTCTTTTGTACTCATACTCAGACTTGTAGCCGTATCGGGAGTAGGCACACATGTTTCACGACTTTTTGAACCAACTCCATGTACAATAWATTGCCCATCTTTCTCATTTTGAAGTCTCAACAAATATGGCATGGACGAGAGAAAAAGGGAGAACTTCTTATGACCATAAAAATTCTTCTCAATAGTAACATTGCTCTTCCACAACTCAGCTCGAAGTTCTGTAATTGAGAGCCCTTTAGGATACAAATTCAATATATTACGTATCACATTCACAACTGCCTTAGGAACTGGACGAAGCTTAGTGTCTGAATTTGAATCAGAAACCTCCTCTGATTGCATACATGAGGTTTGATTACATAATGCAAAAGGATCCTCAAGAGGACCTCTATAATGGTCATACCATGAAGCATAAGGACCGTCTGGAGGTTGGTTGAAATGCTTTCCACTTAAATTTTCCCCTTTAACCAATGCAGTCCACTGCCACATGATACTTGCGGCACTACAAAGAACTGCAGGAGCATTTTCTTTACTAGCAAGAAGTATGTTATAATTATTCATTCTTAAACGGTGTAAAATGCTAGCAAAATCTCTGTCCCCAGAAATCAGAAAAAGATGCGCGGGTGGTGGATTTTGAGAAACCCAATACATGAGGTCCACTAGAAGAGACCTATCAGCACTGTTCTTCCCCCCTGTATGAAACAAAATAGAAGACATGATTACAAATTATAGAAATTCTGAAGAAGAATATATGGCACAGCCAGGTTTAGGCAACAAAGAGTACTTTCAGTAACCAGTTCATCTAATAATTGACAGTCGCCCATTATTCCGGTACCTGATGCATCAGTCATAAGCCAATATTGGAACGCTTGTGCTGACCCTTTGTGTTGAAGTTTCTACTAGCAAACAGATGAGTCATGAATCATGATCAGTTAGAGCCCAATTTGCATGATATTATGATGTTTTCATACACCTTATCCATGGAAGCCACAAGTCTAACCATCCAAGTCCTCARGTTTAAGATGGAAACTTGAAAGTTCGGTCTGACTGGCAGTGGAAAGGTTATGTTTCAGTAGTATCAGGCAAAGGATGATTAAGTCTTGTTGGTTCAGTAGTGGATATGGTTGCAGGATGGTTCAGTTGTAGCATGTGTATTTTCAATTGGTTGAACCATACCAACTCTGTATGTATCATTTTCCATTTTATACAATTTTGGCGGTCTTAAAAGGAACTGGCATACTATTAATGCATTTTGGTTCCACCTAACCCATGGGTTAAGTCCTATTAGATTGTGTTTTAAACTTCAGCATTTTGAATGTCTGTAGAAGGAAAGAGGCATGTTGCATCAGCACTGAAAGCTACCATGCCCATGAACTACACCTACACAGGGTATTTTTAACAAACAAGATGGCACAAAWTGGTTTGATTGAGATAGATAGAAGCTGCAAGCAAGTGCTTGTCATGCAACTTTTAGCATTCCAACCCAACCCTCACYTCAAATACATAGGAAGAAATAAACCAAGATTAGCTTGAAATGTATAACCATCAAGCTAGCTAGTTACTTGGGTAGTGTATATAGTATATACCCCTCTTTTGGTCATTTCAAAAACTAAATGGTTATCACATACTGGTCTACTTAAACAATAACAAGAACTTCACACCACTGGTTGCTGAAAGAACGAAAGAGAAATTGTTCTCATATTCTAACATCTAAAATCCCATATTCTAATGGAACAAAGTGACCACATGACACACGCTCGAGTAAACTGATCTAATATTAGAAACAATTTTGAAAGGAAGATCGTTATCCCGTTCTTTCAKAACTGAAAGAAAGAAATCACAGCACCCATTTACAAATTTCAGTAATTTCTCAACACGATTGAGAGTTAATAAAAAGGATAAAAAGTAGTAAAGCACCCGACCGTTAGGAATGTGAGTGAGGTTGATCCCTGTGGAAGACAGCGCCTCCTGATTAGACCTAGATAATTGAAGAACGTCGCCAAATGYCGTAATTTGAATGGGTCCTTTGATACCATTTGCTCTGACTGCAGAAGTTATGCACTGCGTAACTTTATAGACATTGACGCTACAAGGTATTGAGCAGTTCTCGAAGTCCCACCACACAGAAACCTTCACGTTTCTAACATCCTCCGGATTGCGTCTTGAAGATGAATGATACGCCGAGGAGGCGAAGGAGTCCGACGATGAGGTTGAGAAATAGGAGATTCCGACGAGCGGTTGACCACCGTCGGAATTGAAGAACGGTGGCGCTGTTGCACGGATGAAGAGACGGCGTGAAGAAGAGCAGAGGAAAATGGTCATGGAAGAAAATGCTTTCATGGTGTCACCGTCTGTGTCTGTGTCTGTGTTCAGTCAGCCATCCCTGCTCCGTGAAACAAAAACCTTCATTAGAGCTTAAAACCCTACAGCACATGCATGTCACGTGCGTTGTGAGAATGAGAAAAATGTAATTACAAGAATGTCAACATACACCCCTCAACTTTTCAGATTACACACAAGCACTTAATTTTCCTTTGTATTGATGATCAAATATAACATAAAAACTAATGTTTATAGTTAAAAATAACAATGCGGACGGAAATTAAACTGTCGTTTCAAGTAAGGGTGTACATCAGATGGAGCGGAGCGGATCGGATCAAGTTAGAAAACACAATACCTGATCGATCGAATTTCAGGTGGTGGGGCAAAAAACCCTGAAAGTCAATAAAAGAACACCAAAATCTACGGGTCTTGGATGACAACAACTGGGAGGAAGCAACATGGGAGGGGCAATAGAGGGAGGTTGTTTATTTCAAGCTTGTACATTTTGACATAACATATTTTTGTTTTTGTTTTTTTTTTGTGGTTTATATGTTTTAACAAAGATTTAAAGGGCGTGAGATATGAAGTAACGATAAGGTCAAATCTCAAGCCTTATGTGTCATGGTGTGAACCCAATGTTTTTTATGGTGTGACCGAACACGACAATTCTATGTCATGCGGCTAATCATGAAAGAACGCTATAGATTATGAGATCTCATTTTAACCTCTAACCATCATAATATTCCATAATTAATCAATGAAAGGCATATTAATAGTTTAGAATTTTAATGACAATTAATCCTTTCCATGTTAGAGTTAATCCAAAATCAATTACATTTATTCTAACTTTGTAAAATCATCATCAACATAATTATCACTATCTTCAAATAAATGAGAATTCAGGCATAAAATACATTGTGCATGTACAATGTCAAATACAAAGAAGCATACATGTAAACATATAAAACATTGTGCATATTCATGGATAGGTTAGGGTATCTATGAGAATGAAAGTTAAAGTGAAAAACGTAAAAATGGATCTTCATCCTTGGATGCGCATTATAAAAAGAGATATTCATCCTTGCATGCACATTATAAAAATAGATCTTCACCCTTGGATGCACATTAGAATGAGATGCACCAGATCAATCCATGTATCAAGTGCAATTCATGGATAAGTTGAAATTAAAGATGATCAATGATCCAGATTTCTTATCACGCTTTTCATTTTGACGCTCTTTCTCACCTAATCCTTTGCCTACATGGATATATCCATTAAGCTTATAAATAAATGTGTACATATGCATGGACCCTATACATACATTTTTTATATAGAGGTGGCGGTCCCTTCCATGAAGAAAAAAAAATTAAAACATGAATTTTTTTTAAAATAAAATCAATGCCAACACTCGGTTGGAGACTGAACCGAAGCAACCATAAAAAAGAAAAAGCAAAGCTCAGAAGAGAGAGAGAGAGAGAGAGAGAGAGAGAGAGAGAGGAGAAGGAAGAACGAGGGGGAAAAGAAAGGAACCCACCACTAGAGAAGGTTCCAGACAAGCCTAGCATGGACAAGTCCGGGGAAGGCTTCATAGTAAGGCTGTATAACACCCCAAGATCCACATTTACATATAACCATGTATTTCATATAATAAGAAATACAATATTACACATTCGGCCCAAAAAGTACAAGAAGCTACATTACAAAAGTAGCTAACAAATTTTTCCATAACATTCATGTACATAACTTGTAAATATAACAAGTATTCCAAAATCAATAGATAACAGATTCTTCTCCAAATTCCACGTAAATACATAGGAAACTCACATTTCCCTCTTTTTCTTATCTCTTGATAGTGCTCGACCTGTAATACATTATTTAAACACAAAATGAGGGTTAGACCTTGAGGTCTAGTGAGAATTTCCCACTTCAGGTATAGGTCTCTAAATCTTTATTGGGTACAACTGACCAAGGCTCACTTCACCTTCTTTTGCCCTCTCAATAAGAGGAGGTTGTTCTTGAACTTTCTGTGGCTCCTGTTTTTCTGGAAGTGCTTGTGAGTCTACAGAAACCATTGGTGCCTTTAATTTGGAGGATGATGACAATAATTCCTCCTGAACTTGCTCTGGCTCCTCCTGGTTTTCTAGAAGCGCTTGCAAGTCTGTACAAAGCTTTGGTATATTTAGTTTGGAGGATGATGACAATATTTCCTCCTGAACTTG